TGATGGTGATGGTGATGGTGGTCGTGATGGTGATGGTGATGGGGCTGGTGATGTGATATGGTGATGGTGGCGATGGCGATGGTGATGGCATGGTAGTGGTGATGAGGACGATGAAGATGGTGACAAAGATGAGTAGGCGAAGGATGATGAGGATGAGGATGGTTATGTAGTCAGGGAAGGAGGAGGAGGAGCTTATGCAGCGATAACCATTCAAGTGATGTGGGTGCCGCCACAAGGGGCATATATGCATAATCACTTGGGGTGACGGCGCAGCATGTCTTCCAGAAGGTCAGCCCGGCTGTGCGTGCAGTGTGAAGGAGATGTTGCCGTCTGAGGAGTACTCATCACCATCTCACACCGACATTACAACGACAGTGCTCTTGTTGTAAGCAGTATCAGAAGCATTCTAGCTGCTTAGACTCGTTATATCTTTAGCGTAGATTCGGGTCTATAACTTGCAAATTCCTCAGCGCACAGGTGGCGGTGGTGGCGGCGGTGGCGGTGGCGGTGGGGGCGGTGGTGGCGCCCATGCAGCGATGCTTCTGATACGCCCGCATGATATTGCCAGCATGCTTGGCACACGAGATGGCCTCGCGAACGATTCTGGGCCCCGGGCTCCGGGCTTTGGGCTCAACGTCAAAAATCACTTGTTGTACCAGCCAAGGCCGTTGGCGGGCTTGTACGGGCTCAGCTTGTTGTCGTAGTAGTCGCCGTTCCAGCGGATGGGCTCATCGGACTTAGTTCGCCATAAGCTGCAGACAACAGCTACATGCTTCTGAAACTGGTTCTCGCGAAAACCTGCTCACCAAGTACAGCCGATAGCTCTTTTGGCAACATCTGACAACTGCCCTACCCTCCCTGCCAAGGCACGATGCCGTAGACCTTCTCGACTCGCTCGATGAGCTTCTTGTTGTACTCATCCCAAATGGGCTTGAAGGCCTTGGAGCATGCAACCACATGCCACAGCTTGAAGCTAAAGCAAAGGAGTTTCCTGTGACTCCTGCTCCTGCGCCTTTGCTTCAGAGAAGGTGTGGAGTGCATCCAAGTGACCGCAGCCTCTGGGCGAATGGGGTACGTGCCATCGGTGGTGTTCACGATGCCCGAAGGCTCGATGAACTGATCGATCTTGTACTTGCGGTAGATACCGCCACCGGTGGAGGAAGCGCTGTACTTGGGGTCCTTGCCGTCGCTCTCCCTGTTGTACTTCCTGCAGGATCGCGTTCCATGTCATAAGTACCGTAAGACCAAACATTGCAGCAGCGCCTGAAGTCTGAAAAGAACTTGTAAACTCACAACTGATGTCTACAACGAGCCTTCTACAAAAGCGACCTACACCCAGTCTCCCGTCGCAGACATGGTGCTTCAAACCGTCCTGTAGTAGGCCTTGGCCCAGCGGAACTGCTCCTCCTTGGTCTTGCAGTCGACGCGGATGTCGCAGCCCTGCCCAGTCCGTAACATGAAATCAGCTGGCGAAACACCTCTACGTGTCAAGTACAGACAGCACCAAACTCTTGGGAAGTACAGGCATCGCTGGCTTGAAAAAAATTGTTCCAGAAGTGCTCCGTCCTTGGCGAGAATCTCCTCATCCGTGGGCTCCTGAGCAGAAGTAGTAGTGAAGCCACCGAAAGTGAGAGGGCAGTCAAGCCCCAAGAAGTCCTTGGGCTTTGCTGCCTCCTCCTCGGCCAGGACTGGGGAGGCCGCGGCCACGCTCAGGAGCAAGCCCAGTGCGATGCCGCCCTTGGAAAAGGAACCGAAGTGACCGGGCGGAGGGGCCTAGGGAGTTTAGGGTGTCAGGGGTGTAGAGGGGTCTTGAATTCGGTTCTCCGCCTGAGGAGGTTAACCTTCCGTGGTTGCTACAGCTTCCTCGCCATAGCTCACAGAAGCTTCTTGCAGTTGTGGTAATGGTATTGCTACTTCGATAGTGTGATATAGTTTTATGGCATCTTACATAATCTTGTGTCACATTGTGATAATATGGTATTCATCTGGTGCGTAGTAGATACTGGTAGCACCAGTGACGGCAGTAGCAGTAGCAGCAGCAGCAACCTTAGCTTTCATGCCAAAAGTTAAAGCAACAAAGTCGCTGCGGACACCAAAGCCTAGCAGTCAAAGCAGAGACTTACAGAAAGAGCATCGGCCAAGGACCCAAGGGGGGGGGAAAAAAAAAAACGCGGCGCAAGCGACTGTCTGCTTAGGGTCTTCCTCGTGTGGTGGCCCGGCGCAGAACATCAGTTTGCAGATGAAAAAACCCCCAAATCGGATCAAACTACAGCTTAGCGAGGTGCAAAGAGCCCCTGCAGGTTTTGGAAGGAGCTGCCGGCGTCCGCTGCGTCAAAGTGGCCCTGATCCGGCTTGGTTTGTTGCTCTTGAAGATGTTTAGGATTTGGCTTTTTTTTGCGCGGGGGATAGGGTTTAGGGCTTACGAATCCAATGTTCCCGGAGTTTCCGCGCATGAATGTCGGCCTATTCAACAGGACTTCCTTCTGAAAGAAGATTGATCGGGCCAAGAAGGCCGTGAGGTCGGAAGTTGGATCCCACCCCTGAAGTTCGCAAGTCTCAAAAACCTTGGGTTCAGGGCTTGGGGTTTAGGGTTTAGGGGGTCGAGGGTTTAGGGGCTTAGGGGCTTAAGGCACAGGATGGTTTAGGGTCCAAAAACTCCTCAATCCAGCCTGCTCCCTGCTTACATGGCTGCTCGGAGAGGAGCTGGTGGACGGCATCATCCCAGGCACGAAGGCCAAGCCGCCTTAAGACTTCTCAAAGCTGATGAGGGTTTTAGGGTTCAGGGTTTGGGGGTTAGGGTGCAGGGTTTAGGGGTTAGGGTTTAGGGCTTAGGGTTCGGAGTATCAGACGTCCGACGGAGCCTGGCGACACCCTGAGGATGCTCGCAAGGCGACTCGAGTTACCACGGACCTTCGAGAAAGTTTCAAGACCTCAGGTCTGACGGGTCGTCCGCATCCGGGTGCTGAAAGCTCAACATCCGCAACCTCAAACCTTCAAACCTCCTTACGCAATCGTCCCTTTTGCCGAATCGCGACTTTTCGGTTGCTCTGCTTCGTGTTTTTCTATCGATGCTGCTGCCGCCGCTGCTGCCGCCGCTGCTGCTGCCGGTGCCGCTGCTGCTGCTGCTGCTGCTGCTGCCACTGCTGCTGCTGCCACTGCTGCTACTACTACTACGACTGCGACGAAACCACTACTACGACGACTACCACGACGACTACAGTACCCCAACAACAACAGCAACAACAACCAACAACGACCACAACCACGACCACAACCACGACCACGACCACGACCACCACCACCACCACCACAACAACAACACTGCTACTACTGAGATACTGCGGCTTGTAGCCATGGGACTACTGCTGTCCCGACTCCTCCTCCTCCTCGTCCTCCTCCTCCTCCTCTCAGTAACACTGCAACCGCCAATACGATGACGACAACGACTCACACTACGACTGCCGCGACTATGTCGTCTGCCGACGGCGAGGCGACGACTGCTGATTGCCTTGTTCCCAGACCCGCGGGAGGATCCAGAAGTAGATCCCTTACTGAGGGGTTCCGATAAAGTACCCCTTAGTAGTAAGGGTCCCAAATTAGGGGATCTACTTTCTAGATCCTCTTGGGGGTCTGGGTTCAGACATCGGAAACGGTGTCGGAGCAGCCCTCCCAAGCTGAGTTCCACGGCCCGCCAGGGCGCAGCCACCCACGAGTGCCTTCATCCGAGATCCGAGCTGTGTCGGGCTCGAGGCTATGAGCGCTTGGGTGTAACAGTGTAGGGTTTGCTCCGCTGAAATGCGGATCTACGACAAGCACGTTCAAGAAGCTCCATGCTAGCCTCAACATCTAAAGCATCCTGAAACAGAAAAGGAGCCCCCCAAAACCCCCCTAAACCCTGAACCCCTAAACCCTAGACACGAAATCCAAAACTCGAAACCCAAGCACTGGGCTGCAAACCGTCCATCCACGAGCCATGGCAGAAAAGCTCTTTTGACGGAGCCCCTTGAGCAAAAACAAACTCGGAAGCGGCTCACTCCCTCGACCTCTTGGGGGCTTGGAAAGAGAAGTTCATGGTTGTGGGTTTAGGGTTTAGGATTTAGGTGCTAGGGTTTAGGTGTTAGGTGTTAGGGTTTGGGTTTAGGGTATAGGGTGTGGGGTTTAGAGAGTTTCGGTTGAGGCTTAAGGATGGGCTTAGGGAAGCTTAGGACGTGTCTTGGGGGCGAGGTGGGGCTTCGCACGTCTCTGCCTGGCCGCTCGTGCTTGGGACCACATCGAAGACGGGCTTAGGGTGTTACTGTTGGGCTGGTACCTGAGTCAGCCTCGGTTTAGGGCTTAGGGCTTAGGGTGGTTAGGGATCAAACTCTTGGGGCGGGGGCCGGGGGGGAGGGGGGTGTGGAGGGAGCGAAGCATTCAACCGTCGGACTTTCACTGATCGGTAGCGCTTGTCCAGTGATCAGCATGCCAGGGCCTTGGATTCCGGCTTGCTCGTGTTAAAAACCGCTGATCATCAGAAGTAGGATCGGCAAAGAAGTTCTGGGTGTCCTAGAGGCCTCGTGGTCATACACCTACGGTTTAGGGTTTAGGGTTTAGTGTTGACAAGCTTGATCTATAGTGGGAGGCCATTCCGAACATCTGAGCGCGGCAGCCTATTCTCAGTTTCCTCTGCAGGCGACGGGGGAAGACCCGAGTTCAAGATATGTTATCGTCAACAGTGCCATGACCACGATGGCTATTCGTGCTATCATCATAGCCAGAGCCGTTGTCACTGTAAATGCTGTTGGTTAAAGTTTCCTGCCTGAGGACTTCGTAACGCTTCTGATACGACCGGATGGCTACTGCTATTGCCAGCAGGCCTGGCAGACGAGACGGCCTCGCGCCAGGTTCTGGGCCCCGGGCTCCAGGCTTTGGGCTCAACGTCAAAAATCACTTGTTGTACCAGCCAAGGCCGTTGGCGGGCTTGTACGGGCTCAGCTTGTTGTCGTAGTAGTCGCCGTTCCAGCGGATGGGCTCGTCGGACTTAGTTCGCCATGAGCTGCACACAACATGCTTGCGAAGTGCGAACTCGCTCAGAAAATATGCATTACAGGTGGGTTGACAACTACCTCACGTTCATTCGCAGAAACCCGCAAGCCCCGCCAAGGCACGATGCCGTAGACCTTC